GGTTGTATTTGAAATAAACCCTATATATATATATATATATATATATATATATATATATAGACTTGGGATCATATGAGACCAAAGGTTTTTCATGAGACTCGTAAGACTAATTCTCAACCATTGGATTAGATCTACAATCGTCAGATCTGAACATTCATAAACGCCACAAGACTTTTTAATAATTACAAAATTGCCACCGTGCAACTTTAGACCATTAGATCATTAGCTTATAAAATTGATCAATAAACATAAATTGGTCTTACTAGTCTTACGAAAAACCATTGGTCTCACGTGAACCCAACCCTATATATATATATATATATATATATATATATGAGATGTACTTTGCAAACCACGTTATTTGTATAAACCGTATAAATCTCATTCAACCAATCATAATTTTTCATTTTGTTCATTTTTTGTAATTATGAGAGGTTGATTAATCATTTTTTGTAATTATCATCTTCATTATTTTAATTTTAGAGAAATACATGAAACAATTTCATATAACTGAAACAGTTTCATTAAGTATTATATGAAACAATTTCATTAAAAAAATATTATATGAAACATTTTCACAAGATTAAACAATTTTATTAAAATTTTTTATAAAATTAAACAATGAAATCGACGGATGAAAATGGTTTACACAGTTTATACAAATTATATATTTGAACCAATAACCTCCATTTCCATCGATCACGTGATGAAATGCAAGTTGCTGGTAAGGTGATGAATGGCGAAAAAGACCTGACAAATTTATCGATCGATGTAATAATGAATAAGGACAAGCAACCGAAACCGATGGTGGAACCAAAGCAATAATGGATGGTTGAGTCCATTTTATCTCCTGCTACAGTGCCAGTCCCAGACCCACTTTAAAAGTCAAATGTTTATCATACAATAAAATCAAACCCTTGTAGACTTGACTTGGTCTCATGTTCCACTTCCAAGTACCCATTTGTACGGTTCATAAGTCGATACACCATGCTTTGATTTCTTTTGGAACGTTAAAACATGTTTAACATATTTTATAAAATTTATGTAACGTTTTTTTAATGAAAGTGCAGTTTAACAAGTTTTATTAATAAACTAGTTGTATACCTGTGCAATGCGGCATGAGCTGTAAATGTTAACGATTTTTAAGTTTCACTGGTTTTTATTAGAGAAGATTTAACGACGATATAAATTACATTTGGTCTTTACATATTAATACAATTTGAATAAATAAGAATTATGGTTCCAATTACAGTTTATCGATGAAAAAAATTGTTTGACAGTTTAAAATGTAATATATTTAAAATCCAACATATTTAAATGACTCCACAAATGTGTTCGATTTACAATAAAAGCAAAGAATCAAGATAGTGAGACTGAGAGTTCTAGAGCAATTGAATGAGAGATGAATGAAATAATTTTTAATAACTCATGGTGAATATCAATTTGAATCTCACATTGGGGGATGGGGAGAAGACATAGAGGTATGAGAAGGTGAATGCATTAGTGAAATGTGTCAAAAATATCTTGGGAACATGAAAAAAAAAAGATAATAATATTGTGTATTAGTAACTTATACTATATATTATTTTAATCGTAGATTAAGAGATTTTAAAACTAAATGCATAAAGTAGTAGTTTCAATACATTATGAGTTGTTTTTAACACTTTTAAGACTTTATGCATAAATGTATAATACTTTGTGTATTAAAAAATTATTTTTAAAACTTTTGAAAAATTTGGTTTATAAGATAACATAGATATAGATATTCACAATAAAATCGAATTTATAGGTCGCCAGAATTGCGTAACTATCTCCGTATATTGTTTTATATAACATAAGTTTATAGGACAAAAAACTAAAGTGTTCTATCTAAAAATATTGTAATATATTTATAAAACGTTTTTGGGTTTTTCTATAACTTTTAAGGACCTTTTTAAAACAAAATGTTGTATTAACTATTTTATATGATAATATTTGAAAAACTGTCTTTTAAAAACAAGTGTCTATAAAAAATGTGTTTATAGAATATTTCATAAAAGTGTCATATAACATGACTTTTTATTGTTGAAGTATCCTACAAATTTTGTTAAAACATCCAATAGCATCCTATAAATTTATTACAACGCTTTTAGATATGATATATTTTTAATTTGATTCCATAAACTTAATTAGCCTTATATATTTGTAAATATAAATTATTAGCTTCCTATAAACTTGAATTGGTCATAGTGAATCATATATTTATATCTATACTATAGTATAAAACATTTGACAAAAACTCTTAAAAACCATTTTTACGTATGAAGTATTGTATATTGATGCATATTACTTAAAATTCAAGATTACAAGTAAATTATGCATAAATACAACTTATTAAAGCTCCATGTTTGAATTCGCGTAACTAACTGCAGATAAACATAACCAATTAAAGGATAAACATCTCATTTTAAAATATAAAAAATCTAAAATATAATTAGAATAATTATAGTTTTAATTAATTATTATCTTTATAATAAAAATTATATTGTTAAACCAAATATAAATACTTCGTTATTGAACCTAAATTAAATCATAATAAAAAATTGAATTAAAAAATTCCACAAAAAATAGGAATTTTAAATAGTTAATTTGATACTAATATCGATATTTTTTTGTCAAATTTTTATAATATCTTCAAATTTATTCAAAATTACATAAGATCATACTATAACATCAACTGAGATAAAGAATAGAATGAAATATTAAAATCAATATGTATCTCACTGTATTGTGCAAGTACCCTTATAGTAAATTACAAATAAAAGAAGTTTATAGTTTGTATATATATCATTAATCAATCTTCATATTTCACAACCACTAATTAAATATATATATATATATATATATATATATATATATATATATATATTCAGAACTTTCAAAAGGAAGATGTCTTAATTATTTTATGATAATAAAAAAAATTGTTGTATACATTTAAAACAAGGCTATAAATAAATGCACATGTGGGTACATAACATTATTTATTATGTTTGCCAAAAGCTTATCCCGTTTAGTATTTAAGTTATTGAAGGTTTCTACAAAATATTCATCTATTTAAATATGATTTTCGAATCTTAAAAAATCCATCAATTGGTGCATTTTCAAGGACATATACTTAAAATCGATTAATGGTATATATTGTATGAAAGGAATTCCGGGAGGGCCCTATGAAAATTTAGAAATCCGCCGCTTTGATATTTCACACTCCCCTTTTTACAAATATTTATTTTCATTAATTTATTTATTTTTTCTGTCAAAATGTTTACTTTCATCCAAAAATACTTTAACTTAATATACCTTGCCGAATGCACATTCGAATTTTGTTATATACGGTGGTGAGACTATCATAGTTAGAGCCATGATGAAGCTCGGAAGGGAGGACGTTAGGGATCGATAAATCCCAGCCGTGGACTCCTCGATGATAATGGTGAATACGATTAAGTTGATTTTATCGAAAACATAACAAATGACATAGGTTCGATGGTAATCGGTTGCACCACCATGACCTCAATGGATTTTTGGGTTTTAACTTTTTGGAATAAATTTGCACAATTTTTTTTTATTATATTCTTGATGATTTCTATGATGTTATTATATAATGTTCTTGAGGTGAAAAAAGACCAAAATATCCTCCACTGAGTCGATAACGATTCAACTTATGTATAGTTATAGTGGTATGTTGATTTTTAATTTCCATTAGATTTACTTGCAAGTCTTAACACAATATTATGTTATTAAATTTTATATGACGAATGTGATGATACACTAATTATAAGACATTATTACACTAAGGGGCCGTTTACATAAATACTTATCAGATAAGATTGTAGTATATTAAAACGGTATCGTATACAACAATTTACCTGGTAAACACTTATCCAGGTAAGAGTCATCACCATCACTTACCGGGTAAGACTCTCTATGACTCTATCTCTATCATCGTTCTTACCGGTTAAGATTTTCAGCCATTACTATGTGCATTAGGTGAGGAAAGTTACCCGATCCACACTTAGGGGTGAGCATAAGCGGGTACCCACCCTTTTTGACAGGAACCGGAACCGGCGGTTCTTGAGATATTGGAACCGAAACCGGTTAGAGCGGTTCTTAAATTGGTTCTGGTTCCGGGTACCCGCTTCCTAAAATATTAAAATTTTGTTATTTAGAAATAAAAAATAAAACATTGCCAAAACACCAAATAAATAAGCAAGAATACAAATTATATAGAATAATGGTTACAAATATTGTTTAACGATTACAAACCATAATAGACTAATAGAAAATGTTCAAAGTTTAACGATTACATATTATAATGGTAAATGTTCAAAGTTTAACGATTACATACTATGAATCCAAGTGAACACACAATTTGAAAAAATACGAATCATTCTATATGAAGAGTTTAGATGAAGAATGAAGATGACGGTGTATGTAAACCTAATATAAATTTGGTATTAAAAAATAATTATTTTTTTTTATTGAAAAATACCGGGTACCCGGCGGGTAACGGTTCCAAAAAATTGAGAACCGGAACCATTCTCAATCGGTTCCGTATTTTAGGACCGGAACCACTCATATCGGTTCCGGTTCCAAGACGGTTCCGGTTCCATAGCCGGGTATCCGGTTCCGCTGCTCATCCCTATCCACACTTACCGGGTAAGCATTTAGTAAACGAACCTAAAACTAATCATATATGCATATACCTGATCATGAAGACCTATTCTTTAGGGTTTAGTTTTTACCTTTAATTTTAATAAATTGATGATAAATTAATGATGGTGATCAACTGGTGATATACATGGAAAACTATAACTCAACGATGGAAAACTGTAGCTTGATGATGAAATTGGTATTAAAATACAATAATACAGGTGTGTGTGTGCGTGTATATATGTATACATGTATATGTATATATCTATGTCATGATTTACAATATAAGATGCGAAAATTAAAACACCATGAAACTAGAGGATGGAGGTTTGATTGAAGGAGGAAAGGTTCTCCGGGCTCAGAAGGATCGAAGAACACCATGAAAGTGAGGTTGGTGACAAATTGAACCCCACCGGACTCATGAGTGCACCGCTGAACAGATCATACGCTCCTGGCTTGGTTGGCAAACCTAACCCTACCGGACTCAAACCCTCAAAATGATCCATCTCATCTGTCTTTGAAGTAAACCTAGTGGTATCCAATGTTTCATTTAAGAAGTTACAAAAATCCGGAGACATCATGAAGGTCGGCAGCGGGCTCACCATTCCTCCACCTTTCGAAGGTGGTGTTGGTTTGGGAAATAACGATGGTTTTGGTATCGTAGAGAGGATAAGAGGCGGCGGGGCGATGTCTTTTAGGCGTCGTGCAGACGGGTACTGAAATTCGGGCGTGCTAGTGAGCACACGAACGACTTTCTTGAAATTGGAAGAATCGACGTTGTAAACCTTAGTTGGGGTGGGGGGTAACGGTGCAATGAACGGCTTGGTGATTCGTTTTTGGAGGGATTTACGGACCAAATGAATGGAGTTATGGTACGATGGTTGGGTCGATATGATAGTTTTTGGTGGATGTTGTTGTTGGTATGAGGAAGAAGATGAAGATGAAGCGTAGAGACGAGTAGTTTGATCCATTTTTATGATATGAGGATCGTGTTGTTTTTGTTTGATAGAATTGGAAGGATGTGTGTATATATAGCAGACGAGAGTGATAGATCGATTTTATAAATGAATATAAATATCTCAATTGATTGAGTTATATTGGTTGTACAAATAGACATGGTTGCATTTGAAATATATCTTTTATATATATATATAGAGAGAGAGAGAGAGAGGCACAACCATTTGTTGATCAAGTAAATAATACTAACTTTACAAACTCATCTGAGCCGTTCATTTTTTTAATCAACGATTATGATTAAATGAAAAGTTATAAAATGATGAAAAAAGAAAAAAAATTGATTGATTTAATGGAAAACAATTTTGAAACAAAATGGTTTTATTTTTGAAAGATAATCATGTTTTATATGGTGTTTGTTTAAAGTTCATAGTGTTGTTTCACCTCCTTCAAAAACCTTTAACATATTTTAACTGACATGGGAATATTCAACCTTAACACACATGCATTAACACACAATATAGGTTATCGGCGAAGAATCGTGTGAGAAGGGAAATTTCTGTGAGATGTGTAAGAAGAGATCTGAATCCTTGATCACTTTTAATCTCATGTTCACCCATGAATTGCACCTTAGAAGAAAATTGATCTGATGCATCTCGATACACCGCATTAGTGTTGACATTCAATTATGATTAATAATATGATAGAGATCTCTTCTTAGACTTCTCACTATAACTTTTGTTCTTACTAAAACTCAACCATAGGTTATCACACTTCCATAATTAATCTTAACATACATTAAAATGAAAACCTTAGCATATATATATATATATATATATATATATATATATATATTTTAACTTGCAATCTTAACAATGAAAACTTTAACACATCTAAATACATATCAATTATTTAATACACTTTAACACATGATAACAAAGCTAAAAAAATGTTAGTGAAGCTGATGTAGTGCGCAAACGACCAGTCTGCCCTCCATTTTACAATGTCGGGTAGGTGTACAGATCACAACAAACAATTGCGGGGGTATTCCTACAGTTTGTATGGATTTTGGTATTACTATCAGAACTTTACTCTCTCTCTCTCTCTCTCTCTCTCTCTCTCTCTCTCTCTCTCTCTCTCTCTCTCTCTGTGTGTGTGTATTCATATGGATTTTGAAATTCCTATTAGATTATTCTTCAAAAAAGTTGTTAAAAAGAGAATAGATGTTGCAAAGATTCAAATATATGTTGATTTGGGATTGTAACACATCACCCCCCCCCCCCCCCCCCCAAAAAAAACCAAAGTGAAGGCTAGAAGGACAGTTCAAGATGTAGAGTCTCGAACATAGAGGTTTGGTATCCGAGAAGTAAGGGTGTAAACGAGTTTAGTGAAGTAACAGGTTATTCAAGTTCGACTTGAAAAACAAATATCAAGCTAGAGATCATATTGTTTTCCAATGTTTGAGCTCGAGCTCGATAGTTATTTACGAGCTCGATTAACTTGTTTATTTGCTCAAACTCGATGATTTTTACATTCTGAGTACATAATTCATAAACATATAAATATGTTTGGCTCGAAAAAATGTATGCTCAAATGTTTTGGCACAACTCGTGACTCGACTCGTAAGATTTAATCAAGTTTTTAAACGAGTAGAACCGAACATTGGTGTTATGGAGCTCAACTTGTTAAATTAAATGAGATTTGTTTTATGTTCGAGATTGTCTAGAGCTTGAGAATTATTAAGGTCGAGCTTGAATTTAAAGTGTTTACACTCTACCGAAAAATAGACCTAGCCTTTGACAATCTCGAACATAAAACAAATCTCACTTAATCTTTAAATATAGTTAATGTAAAAGTCTAAGATATATATTATGTGACATAAAAATCCCTTTGTTGGGATTTATTGTGGATTGAATTATGATTTTAAATAAATCTAGTATAACTATTCAGAGTCAATTAATCTTTATGAAGAAATTAAACCACAACTAACTAATATGTATTTATTTATACACGAATATTATATTGTCAACGTAATTTATCTATTGATTTATGGTTGAGATTGGATCTCACGGTTACCATAAACTAATTAGTTCTCATTTGATTAGATCCATATATATATATATATATATATATATATATAGAGCCAAGATCAAATGCTAACCAACCCTTTCATGTTAACCTTATTAACCGATCTTGGCCATTCAAACAAATGATCAATGGTTGTAAATTAATCAATTTAAAATTTTAATTTTTAAAATTTGAATTTTAATTAAGCATTGTGAACATATATGGAAGGGGCATATTGGGTAATAAACTTCACTTCATAAATGTGAGTATTATTAAATCATCGGTTACATACAAAAGATTACCATGTATAAAAACATGTATGTTGACATTACCAAATGAACGAATGATGAACATGAACGAATGATGAACATGAAACGAATGATGAACATGAACGAATGATGAACATGAAACGAATGATGAACATGAAACGAATGATGAACATGAACATGAACATGAACGTATGTATATGTATGACGTATATAAACATGTAGTTAACGATTTTTATACGTTAGTTGAAAATGCATAACGGTGATAGAATATCAAATAAATAGTATGAGATGAACCTTAAAAAACATACGATTTGGGATGAACATTATTTCGATCAATATGAATCTAAAAA